CAATTTTCTAAACTAAATAAAAATATTAAAATCGCTTGTTTGATATTGGTATATAAGTGAGCTTACATAATTTTAAATGTCTGTGCATGGAATTTATTTCCTGAATCGCCAAAACTGCTAGTCTTGCCTACTTAATATTGTACCAAATTTTTCATTTCTTTAGTAGAAGTAAAATCATTTCTTCAGAAAAAGTCTTTTAAATATTTCAAATCGACCGCTTTGTTCTTTCAAAAACTGAATCACAAATTTTGGCACTTCCATGCCTTCGAAACGACTGGACCTGCCTTTGCCAAAAACTAATCAGCACGTCTTTCCGTCCATAAGAATTTTTTGAGATAAACAGATTATTTAGAGGAATGTTCGGGTGCCAATTTTTATGAGATATAATAATTCATCACTTTCTAGAATTACAACTTTGTATTTGTCATTCTCCAAACACAAATTAATAACTTGTAGAAAATAATCGTAAAAGAATTGTTTGCTTTTTAAAAATCACATAAAAGTCATGCCCTTAGACTCTAGACCAAAATAACTTCTTAAATTCTCTGAATCGATTCAGGATCTTTGGCTAAAATGTGGACTGGACCAATTGTTAAAAAATGGTTTGGCTGATTATGGCACAAAAAAATGAACTAGAGTTTTTATTGAGTTCTATCAAATGTCTTTTGAATTTTTGAAATTGATGTAGTCGTTTTTGAGAAAACTGTTGTCAAAATATCATACACACCTCGATTTTTCATTTTTGGCATCAAAATATTCACAATGTCGAGAAAATATAAAATTAGCAAATCGGATTTTCTGGCGAAAACAAACGTTTACATTCTCATGACAAATATTACATCTGTCCTCGCTACGTGTGTGTAATTCTTCATTTATCGTTGAAGTTTTTCTTACTATTTGCATTAAATGAAAGATTTACTGCGATCATTTCAAATCTATTTGTGTAAATATGCACTTATAAATCAAAATATGCAAACTTGATAAATTTTTAGGTGACGCAATTTTGATAATATTTTCAGCTGAGCATAAAATCTACCATTCATCTCTCGTTTCTCAACCCAGATATGTAAATGTGTTTTCCGTCATATTCATGGTAGACACAATTTGCTCTTAATATGTCTCTGTGACAACGATATTTATGAATTCCATTAATCAAAAATAAACCAAACCATATTTTCATCTTACGTAAATGCATCTTGAATGGACAAATTCCATTTTTGTAAATATTATGCAAATTTTAATAGCTTAAAATTGCTAAATCTTAATTGGAATCTGTATCGATTTATACACTTCAATTCATCTGCATACATGACTAGAAAAACAGTACCGGCTTATGGAAAAAAGACTTATCTGTGCCATAATACTGATACGACAGGAATTTGCCTCAATATTTGGCCTAAATTGTAATTTCAATTTCAACCATATCAAGTCTATAAAACATTGAATAAATTTTAAAAAGTTCTTGTAAGCAATATTTCTATCAACTTTATTAAAATAATGTTTTAAGTGAGTTTGCTTGAAATTCAGATGATTGCAGAATTCCGATCACCATTTTGCACTAGTTACCAGCCAGAGATAGAAAACTTGTCTCTTTGAAGAAAAAAACAATTTTATAATAAAGATGATGATTCAATAACATTTTTTATATGTTTATTGCACATTTTTTGTTTTTTTTTTTGCACCATTGAATTGTATATAAATGAAATATTAACAGGAGTAATATTGTTAATATACATTAATAATGATTGAAATTCATTAGGTCGAATTAATTTCTTGTTTTATGTTTCTGAAGCTTCTGAGGCTTCTGAATTTCTGAATTGCGTTTTACACTAATATTAGATAAGAATATGTTTATGTATTTATATGTGAGCCAAATTTTAACATTTTGTGCAAGTTTTCTCAAAAACTGCTGCACCGATTTCAGAAAATTTGATGCCATTAGATGAAACTCGATAAGAACTTGCATTGTTTGGTTCTAGAAAAAGGTTCGTCGAGCCGTTTCTTTTGCATTAGCAGAAAATTGCCTAATTATTCATCACGCTTTGGCAGTAAATATTGAGCCAATTTTGAAAACTGTAAGACCAGTCGGGAATCGCGATAAGTAGTTTTGGGTAAAGATCTTCAAGGCAGTACTGTATAATTAATTGTTGAACTCTTTTTGGTGATTTTAATGAATTTTGGTATTATGACGAAGTTCGTGGTCTTTGATATATGAAAATTGATATCATGAAATGAAATGATGAAAAATTCACTAAAGTTTGTAATCGTGGATCATCTCAAAACTTCAATATTCTATCGTCACAACTTTAAAAGTTGCTATCTCAATTCATATTCAGGAAGTTTTTACAACTTTATTGAAGCCCCAATTTTTACACTTACTTTTGATCATGTTTTTATTTAAATAAAGAAATAAAAATTAATCAAAGATAATTCATTTATCTTCCATCCAATCTTATAGAACATATCCAAATACTTCATCTTGATTCTTTAAATTTTTGACTATGAATAAAATTGAAGTAGATTCTATAAATATAAAACTATTGAATAAAATTAGAATCTATTTAACTATATTAAAGTAATAAAAGAAAACACTTGATTTAACTCAATAAATATCTTGCTACTAAAGCATTTACAACCCTCATATGGATGTGAAATTTTAAACTTAAAGCTTTGAGCTTTGAATAAAATGATTTTTTTGAACAAAATATAGCAACTGTATGTAGTTTGCGTTTCCTTATGAATAAATTAAATTCATTTACTAATGATCGTTTAGATTAAACTTCTAAAAATACGTATTCTGAAATTCAACAAAAAAAAATCTGCAAGTAAGATGGTAACAAGAATGAATAAACATTAAATATGTAAAAATGATAGGAAAATTCTACTTTTAAAATTATACTAATTTTTGGCATCTTAGTTGTTAATTTCTTCAACTTGAAATTATCCTATGTTATTAAAAGTTAATATGTTGAATTTTTTATTCAAACTAATATAGTTTTAACATTGTAACAAACCAGTATTTTAAATATTAGTATTGACATTGGCCATATGTTACCATAAATAGTTTTTTTTTATAATTTATATTGTTAAAGAAAATATTTTTATATTATTTTTTATATGTATTTGTGATAGCAATCAGAACTTAGAGTTCTGCAAATTTTTGTGCTGGCTTCTTAAAAGACGTGGCTTTATATGGTTGACTACCCAATAGGTTGTCCTAACTCATCTAATCTTTTTCTTTTCTTCTTAACATATTGCTATCTATAGCTTCACGTGAAAACTGATGTCACTTCTTCTTGACATCACTGTGTCTGACACGAGTATTGAACTTGAAACCTCTGATTCAAAGTCCATAGCTAAATAGATAAAGTTTAGCTTAAATTAAGCCATCATTTGTTAAATGCTAAAATATTATGTAAGCAATGTGAAATATATGTTCACTACTGATAATATTCGCAAAAATCTTCAATTTAAAAAAAATTAAGTAGTTGCTTAAGAATTCAAGTTCTGAATAAATTTTATGAACAAGTTTTCAACTATTTATAAAGTAGAGCATTTATGGACTTGCATATTATTACCATGTATTTATGTTAATTTTATATAAGTGACTTATATTGGTAACTATATATTGGTACTTCATTATCTCAATTTTCATTTTTATTTTTAGTTAATATTATTAAAAGTCAATAATAAAAATGTTTTTCTTCTAGGTTGTTTTTTCCACAAATCCAATAAAACAACTTTGTATAGTAGTGTTATTATCGGGTTAAAAAACTGCTCCAAATGCTTACGAAATATTGCTCCAGATGCATGTAATGTAAGTAAAGGCCATATAATCTTATATATCACGTCAATTAATTGATAAAAAAGCATTTGTACATATGAAACTATATATATTATTCGAGTTGGTATCGAAAGCGCGTGCCGGTTTCTGTAATTGCCCCGAGTAATGTTTGTTTTAACAGTTCGCCATGTCAACGTGATATACGTTGTTTTAATTTCAAAGTAGATTCGACATGTTACGCAATTTAGTGAAATTAGTCGGTTTGTTTATTTCAAATATTTATTGATAAATAATCTAGCCAAGAGATATTTTCGCAGCCGTGTTCTAAAGTAAATTGATTTGGATTACATACTAGTACCTGCAGAGTTATGCAAGGAAGCTGACGCCTTCGAAAGCAAAAAGCGCCACACTTCTTGTTTTATTCTAACTTAGTAATAATTGGATTTTTGACTATATATTACTCGGCAACATGGCAACTTATTTTTATATATATATATATATATATATATATATATATACATTTTACACACACATTAATTTTTTCTAAGGTATGCCAAAATGTTCAGAAACGTTCAAAACGTGAAGATATGCAAAAATTTTCAGTTTCCATTTTTGGACCATTACAATAACTTATCGTTATCCTACGGGAAGTTCAAAATTTGTTTCTGTCATAATCCGATAGCGAATCGCTTTTCCGAAATACAATTTTTATTGATTACACTGCGTGTCATTAATTTTTTTCTTGAAACGTGAAGATGATGCTTTCTAAGTAATTCGAGGATGCTGATTTCTAAGAAAGTAACACAACTATGCTAACAGCTCTAGTTATTGAGATACAACAATGTGCTAGTTCTACCTCAAATTACAAAAATAACACACATCTTAATTTATGTCTTTACAAATCTGTTTATATAATTTTTGAGTCTGGATAAGAACTCACTTAGGTAAGCTTCAACATTTATCAGCCATGATGTGGATGTCCCACCTTCCTTGCTATCTCTCCTCCAAAGTCATGATGTCTTGGTGGATTCTCTCGCCATACATCCTGGTTTTCTTCTCGATTTTATTCATAGAATTTACGAAACGTGGATTTTTTACAAGCTGCTTGCTTGGGAATCATTGAATATATCAGTTTCTGACTCTTGCTGTCTTCACTTTTATCGTAATTCATTACAAGGTCTCACTAATTTCGTCGTAAGCCCCAACACTTGTCAACCATCATGTGGACGTTCCACCTCCATGATATCGCTTCTCCAAAGTTCTGATGCCTTGGTGGAACTCTCACCAGGCTTCCTGGTTTTCTTCTCGATTGTATTCATAGAATTTACGAACCGTGGATATATTGTCAGTTGTTCAATTTGGGGATCATCGAATATATCAGTTTTTGACTTCCAATCCATTGCAAGGTCACACTGATTCCGTCATCAGCTTCAACATTTATCAGCCAACGTGTGGACGTCCCACCTTTGGAGCCATACCTAAAACAGCTGATTCTTGAACTCTTGATCATTTGTTAAACTTCGATAAATCGTAGCCAAAATAACTAATGAGGGTAGTTCCCCAAATATCAAAAAAGAGTTGTTACGGAAAAACGGGAGGTATATTTGAAATCAGCATACAATTCTAAGTAGATTAAAAACTAGCTGTAAGTGGAATTCTGTCTTAAGGCAATTAAGGCATCGTGCCTTAAGGCAAATTGCTGGAACTTCCCGTACCAAAAATTATTATTTTTTTAAAAACGATTGACATTTTTTAAAAAAAAATACTTCGAAAAAATACGATTTTTAAGAAACTATAAATTGGACAAAAAATTACTTTTTTTTGAAAAAAAAATTTTTCAAAAAAAATTTTTTTTTTAATTTTTTTTTTGTTTTTTTTTTTGAAAAAATTTTTTTTTTTATTTTGACATATTGTGGAAGATCTGAACTTTCTTTTCAAAGCAATCGTACTGCTTTAACTGCATAGGGGCAAAATATAAAGCGCGTAAGCGCCGCGTCGCTGTCTAACGCATGAGCATTGGTACGGAACCCATAGGAATGTTAACAAAATGTATACTTATTGTTAAAATCTCTATAAAATATCTGATAATTTGATGAGCATATGTCTAATGATCATTTTTGACCGCCAAATGGCTTATTTTTTTACTTTTTCCTCCATATCTCCGAAACCGCTAGAGCTACCTTCATGAAAATTTTATCGATTCTTAACCTTGTCAATACAAGTGAAATGAATTATTCAAATCGGACGCTCCGTTCTCTCAAAAACTGAGTTACCGTTTTCGGCACTTTTTGCCCCGTATCTTCGGAACGGTTAGACCTGCCTTCGCCAAAAACTAATCAGCACGTCTCCTTATCAATACGAATCGAATGTTTTTTGAATTATTCAAATCGGTTGACCCGTGTTCCCGAAATCGTCGACGAAAATTTGTATCCGCACATACATACACACACATACATACATACACACACACACACACATACACACACACACACACCCACACACACATACATCCATTTTTTCTAAGGTATGCCAAAATGTTCAGAAACCTCTGAAACGTAAAGATATATAAAAATTTTCATTTTCGATTTTTTTGCAATTACTATAACTTCCCCTACGGGAAGTTAAAAAGTTTGTGGGAAAAAATAGAAGTGCAATTTTTATCATGCAGTATTATTTATGTTAGAATTTGTTAATAAACTATAGTTATTCTTCTTTTCCTTAATCTCTCACGTTAATTTTATTTAATCACATTTTTATTAGATTTTATGCTTTGTTCGTGCACTTTTAGTTAGACAAGATGTGTATAATTTTCCTTGTTTTGTAATCTGTTATATACAGTATAGAAAAACTAAATAACTAGGTGTAAGCGTCATTTTGGCTTGAGGCAAATTGCATAAACTTCTAAGAATTGACATTAACCAATTTTTAAAATTGTGGCGAAATAAGTTAGAAATTTTAGCATTTAAATTAAAATTTAGCACATACACATGTTATCTCTAATTTTGTTCTCAAATGATTCAGTATGACTTGAAAAGTTTAAATGTTTAGAACATAAAATTGCACGGTGGATTTTCTGACAGAAAACATATACTTCTGCATCAAGAAATTAATAATATAATCTATACATTATTTTTCATTACATCGTGAACTATGATTCATTAAAATTTTATTTCGCCTATTACAAGAGTTAAAAGTGATATAATTTCTAAGACTTATTTTTTATTATTGCCAAAACTGGTTAATACAATGTCGTAAAAGATTTATTGTACTGAAAAGTAATAAAATAGTTAGTTTGACATGTCACTTTCTAGATTCGTTAATTTTAACTAGGAACAACTATTAAAAAATTTTATTTTCTAAAAATAATTACATTATAGTTGAATTTTTATTTGTTATTTAAAAATGGTTGCATAATTAGTTGGGAATAAATTAAGTGTCAAATCATATTGTGTTCTCGATGTTCCAAGTTATTTTATATAGTTTGTCACAAAAATTATAAAACTGTGAACGGTTGCATGTAACCGCAAATTTTCTCCTTTTTTGCAGATCAAAAATTTATACTTTTATTATTTTTTTGTTGCAATTTTGCTCATATAATATGATACAGGACTTTGAATGCTACCCATTTCTCTTCCAATTTCGGATTTACTCGTATATTTAGTGAAGATGTTTTTTCTCCCAATTTTGGAAATATTTATTCATTCATAACTTCGTCAGCCAATTTTATGTTTTCCATTTTTCTTAGACAGCCATATTCCAAAGATGCATTAAATATTTTTTTAAGAATTTTTTCAAGGCCTGTAGGAATAAAAAAAAACTGCAAGATTATTGTAAATTGCACAAATCATCAATTATTATCAATCAAAAGTGCATCATACATTTTTTTGAAAAGGTATTAGAATGGATTTACAAAATTTAGGAAGGATGAAGTTAAATAAGACATTGCACGAATTATATCTCTTACTGATCTAGTTAATTTTGATTACATTATATTTTATAGAAAATATCACTTTAGAGTATTAGAAAAAACCATAATACATTTTGAATAGGTCTATATTTTGAATATAGACCTATATTTTGAATATTAACGTATATAATAAATATATAAAGTATCTGCATGTAAAAATTTCCAATATTAATTATTTTAATGCGATAAAAGCATTCTTAAAAATGCAATTAGTATCTTTTCAATATTGCATTATAATGATGAATATTATAATGTATAATTTTAACAAATGCGTGTAATGACCGGTAAATATCAGTGTTGGTTTTGGTGTGTCTAATTTATAATAACTTCATAAACACCTGTCTTTTTCTGCAAAGTCACCGTAAAATATTATTTGTTTCGAGCTTCATAAGGTTCTTTTACATAAAACTTTAGAAATCAGTTTTATATGATTTTCAGTAATAATAATAAAGTATACTTATTTGCGGTTATAGACTTGTACAAAAATTACAACTTTTGGATTGAAGTGTTTAGTACATGGTAATAGCATTATTTTTAAATTTTCAATAATTTTAAGGCAGGTCACTAATATAAAATTATTTTATTACCATCCCCAAAATGAGCAATACATTAATAAATGAAGTTATTCAGTTCCATGAAGAAAATTATGATTTTCTAATAAAAATCCGCAAATACTTAGTTGCCAACCTAATATAATAATTTTACTAAATAATGTATCATGTTTTACATCAATTGTGTTATTATTATAGTTTTCAATCTGAACCACAATGCGTTTCATATACCATGTAATTTATTATTATATATATTATTAATTATTCAAATTAAAAAACATATAATCTATTCATATTCAAAATCATAATTAATGAATAGTGTTCATGCAGTCTGAACATAAGATATTTTACGTAACTTTTGCTGAATTATTCATTAAACGAACTGTATGGATTACTAATTTAGTGTGAAAGTAAACATGTGTATTAGGTACAAAATCAATCATTAATTTATAGTAATCAATTTTAATTAACGTCAATTAGTAATTGATAGTGTAAAGTTTATGAAAGATTATGAATCATAGAAACTTACACTAGATCGAAGCCTAAATAATAATGAATATTTGGAATGCAATTATTGATATAATAATATATTATAAATTAGCTTATTAACTTTCCGTAGGGTAAGTTATAATAATCGCAAAAAAATCGAAAATGAAAATTTGTATATATATTTATGTTTCAAAGGTTTCTGAACATTTTGCCATACCTTAGAAGAAATTGATGTATGTGTGTATGCGTGGGTGCGCGTGTGTGTGTTTATGTATGTGCGGATACAATTTTTCGTTGACGATTTGGAAAACACGGATAAACCAATTTGAATAATTCAAACTAGTGGTGCACGGCATCGTGCTTTAAGGCAAATTGGTGGAACTTCCCGTAACGAAAACTAAATTATTAAAAAAAACTTTGCAAAACTTTGAAAAAATTATGTTTTTGAGAAATATTAATTTTTTTTAAAAAAATTGACTTTTGGAATTATATTTTTTTATATTTTGATTTTTTTTGTACTTTGATTGTTTTTGAACATTTTTGTAAGCAATCGCGCTGTATTCGATATTTCTTTTCTACGCATCTTTCTACGCGATTGCTTTAAAAAAAGTTCAAAATTTTCAAAATATTTCAAAGTATGAAACAAAGTTTTCAAAAAGGTAAATTTGTTTCAAAAATTTTAAAAATCTTAAAAATCTTAAAAATCCATTTTTTTTTATAAAAAAATTAAATCTTTTTTAAAAATTTTTAATTTTCAGTATGGAAGTTCCAGCCATGTGTCGTGGCACGATGCCATGCGCCGCTAGTTAATTATATTCATCGAGGTTACGTAATGGTAAGAAGATTGGTTTTATAGCCAGAGTTTTGGTTTGATGCCCTTCTGGGCCAGGCTGATATCAAGCAGTAGCGGTGTCACTTGAAAATATACAATACATATAAGCATGTTTTCAATTGAATATAGCTTCTTTGATATTGCAGCATGAAATTAGAAAATATATTATCAGTTTTAGAGAAATTCTAATTATAAAAATCTATCGAATATAGATAAGCCAACTGTTCAGTTGTCTACTAATAACCGAGGTTGTTCAAGAAAAGTTTTATATCACATGAGCTTATAGAACTCTTAAGTTCTGATGGCTTTTCAAAAATTAAAACAAAAAAGTATTAACACAATAATCGTGTGTTATTCGTGATTAATATGTAAAATAATATAATATTCATCAATTAAAATAATAAAAAAAGGTATGAATATTGCTGTCATTTAGTAGTTAGGTGAATGATGTTAATGACTTTAATAATGTTCCATGCATTTTTTTAGTTTAGATAAATTCTTTGGTGCTTGTGGCTCCATGGAAAGAACTTGTTCTAGAAATCACTAGTTCTTGGTTTGATG